TTCAACATACTGCTTCATTATGAGCCTTAATCCAAACATGTGGGTTTCTTCTGTGCTCTGAGGGTCACCTTCATCCAATCAAACGTTTGTGGGCCTGAACTTCAACTTCATTTCATTCATTTTTATTTTGCCATAAACTGAAAACAGACACACCTTAAACCCTTTAAATGATGCAGCTTTAGCTTTGCTGTATTCAATTTTACCATCAGAGTGTTAGAGACAGATATAACAGCGCTAAGTGTGTGTGTTGTGATAACCGGCGTATCAAACAATGTGAACAATGTTAAGTGAGGTGTGACAGGCAGTGAGAGTGTAAGCAAACACTACAGGGCCCTTCATTTGTTTTAACATTTACGGTTGACTATGTTAATGATTGACTCTACATGGACAGCATGCCTCTGTGTTCCAGGGGCCAGTTTGATTGGAGCCCACAAAACGCTTGTTTCAACTTCACTGTGTTTCACTAGAGCTAGCAGAGATGAAGTTCTCACATCATGGTTTATGAATATTGCAACACATTAAATCCACATTTCCCATATCAGTTTAATGATCCCTTATCATGGAGGTGAACTCTTGAAAAGGTCACATTATCGTCCCCTTTGGCTAATCTCTGAGTTTAACCGACACGCTGTTATCGGACCACAGCTGTTTGTTTACACCACGCTTCCTCCGCTGCCTTCAGCCCCACAAGGCGGTTTGGATTATCAGCTCAGAAACATTCTGTATGTAGTTCAGAGGAACCAACGATAACCGACAGCTGCTGCGAGAGGAGCTTTACAGGTCGCATTTAATACAGAGGAACCTTTGAATCAGGCTGTGATACCACAGGGGGCCTCTGAGGGACATGATCAGGCAGTATGCATGCTGAGAGTCAGGTCTGCTTATTAGTCATCTTATCTTATGCTAAACATAAATTTTTCTCCCAGAAGATTAATTTCCCCAAAATAATGCATCCACAGCAGCTCTTTTTTTTTTTTTTTTTTGCAATTTTTTGACATATCCAAACGATAAATATTTAATTCTGGTTGTGATGCAAACATTGACGCAAAAGGATTCTACACCAACATTAGGAGGTTCAAGTCTGAAAAAGTATGTATAAACTTTTCAAAAATGCACATGCAGAGCAGTTTAGGTTTGAATTAAAACTGCTCATATGAGCATTTGTTGCATTTTTATAAAATATTATCTTAATACTCAACTCAAAGAAAAAATTAAATAAGTAGCAAAGCAAGAGTGTACATCAGCTTTTAAGAGTTGATGTGTCCCTGAAGCAGAGAAGAGTCTCAGGCCCCGTCCACACGAAGTCAAAACGAACACGAAACGCTGATATTTTCCAAAACGTTTGCCGTAAAGACGGAGACGTAAAATAAATGTGATCGTCCACACGAATGCATGAAAACGCTGCAAAATGTATGCCAGGCCTGTAAGTGGCGCTGTGGTGCCAAAGCAAAAATAAGCGACGAAATGTTGGGCATGCGCACTAATATTTATACATGGTTGCCCTGCGGGTCCATTTTCGTGGTTCAGTCAAATTGAGGTGCTGAACTATGTGGTCGATATTGCTCTGTTCTTCCTGGAGATATTCCAGAAGAAGAAGATTCTGTTGTAAGCCCGACAGCAGGGTGAGTAGCATTAGCAGCAACGGCGCCATTGTTGTTGTGATACTGTGTCGCGCATGCGTGTTTAGAGGCGACGATATGACGCATGCGTGTAAAAAAAAATATGCGGTTAGAGCGTAAAGATGGAAACGCGAAAACGGCGTTTCGAAATCTTCCCACTCTGAAGGCTGAATAAAAAAAAGATCGTTTACAGACCCCCGAAACGCCGGCTTCGTGTGGATGAGAGGCTGGTTTGGTGAAAAATTTGTGCGTTTAAGCCAGGGTTCGTCTTCGAGTGGACGGGGCCTCAGAAGCCATGCAGATGCCAGATCCCCTTTAAACCATTAGCATTAGCAGACTTCGCAATTAGCCCGACAAACAGCACAGAGCTCAGTGCGCTACATACTGGCTGTGAGAAGTTAAACTCGTAGATATCACCTTTAATAAAAGAGAAAAATAATCCTTATTGATTAGCTGCAGAGGTGATGTCACACTGTGTGAGAGAGGGAGCAGCTACTGCTACACTAGCCCGGCTGAAGTCATTCTGATCAGGCCGAATACCAGCGACTGACCAGTGACAGCGTGACAGTCGGGTTGTTAATGCAAAAGAGCTTTTCTGAAACCATAACAGTCTAGTTGGCAGCCGCAATAGTGAGATGTTTCATTTATCCCCTTTATTATGTACCAAAAGAGTTATATCAGTCAAATTTTATTGGTTTCTGTAAAATATATATATATATATTGCAACCTGTATGATAAAAATAATCTGTCTCATTAGCAAAAACTCTTTTCTAACAGATTTAAAACATTTTTACTTTTAACTGAACTTTTTAGCATATTATTCTAAAAGCATTGCATTTCTAATTCTTAATAACAGCTACTTCTAATACTGCAGTAAACACAATTTAGTTGATATTGGAAAATTAGACCCAAAATCAATAAATAACATAAAACTATTCACACTAATTACATAAAGAAAAAACAGATGTGAAATCTAATTACTAAAATATATCCCAGAACTTTTCAGTAACCAATAAAATGTTTAACTTCATCAGCACATTTCCCATGCCTGTCTGAAGCTTAAAGGTTTTTGCTCCTAACAAGGATTTTCAAGCAAAACGGAAGCACCGTCAGGCTGGAAAGAGCATCTGTGAACATCAATATTTAAGTTTTCCACAGAATGAATAGATTTTATTTTGGTAAGAACTTTGACTAGGCCATTTAAACACATGGACCTGCTTTTAAACTAGTGATGCCAAGACTCATAACCTAGTTCCACCTCAGTAAA